GTGAAGTGAAGTACGATTATTCTACGAATAATTTAACATTATCACGGTCATTTGCAGGTTGGCCGAGATGTCCGGAAATGTCTTTCCATTCCCACGAAATTACAGAGATTAGTCTCCAATCAAAGGGTCAAGGCGTTCGCGTTATTCGTGATCCCGAGCAAGGGCAGAACGTTCGCTACGCAATTATTCGATGGCAATTACATACATCCTTTGCACCAATGAATCTAATGCTGTTTCGTTTCTTCTCTCGCTTATTCCTTTTTCTTCTTCTTCTTCTTCTTCTTCTTCTTCACGCTATTAACGTTCGAAGAGTTATTCTTTCTAATCGACATTTTTGTCGCATATAATTGTCGATTAACTACTTGAAAGAATCGATAATAAGATCGGGAATAAGTGCAGTTCAATTAAAATTAAATAACGTATTTGCGAACGTGTTGTCGCCGTTGATCACAGATTCTGACGTACCGGTCGATACGAGCGCGACGTTGTTACGCCTGGAAGAAAGAAAAAAAACCAATTATTCAAGCGAGTGATGGACGTTGGTAGCCAATCAAGCATCGGCATATCGAATATACTTGCAAAGCGATCGATTAAATCGAATAGGTGACAAATAGGTGGAAGGAAGAATAGTGGCGAGAAGCAGCGAGACACGGCAAAACGAGGAGGAGGAACAAGGACGATAACGTAAAATATCAGAGACGTGTTTGAAACAAGACGTGAGCAGAGTTGGCAAGAAAAGAGAAAGAAAGAAAGAAAGAAAAAAAGAAAGAAAGAAACGTGAATGAGAAGGAGAGAAGTGAACTGGTCGCGAGCTGGTCATGAGAAAGAGACGGGGGAGGGGGGGGGGGAATATGGATGGATATGTAGCAGAAAGGTGGAAACAAGATGGAGACAAGGTGGAGGAGAGTGAGAAGGGAAGGAGAGAAGGAAAGAGCGGAGAGAAGAGACAAAGAAGGAGGAAGAGCGAAGAAGTGGAAAAGGAGGAGTGGGGCAATGATAAATCGTTCACCTGAACAGCGTGCCTGCCGCATTCAGGATCCAGTGGGATGGTAAAAGGAGTACGTAGTAACTCGTCGTTGGTCGAGTCTCGAGTCAGTCGCTGGTGTTGCGCAGTGTATCGGCTGACCTCGTAGCGAGCGAGCGTTTCCTTCGAACGACAGATTTCCGCTCGATTTCGCCGCAGGAGATCCCGTAGATGCGCATACCGACCGTCTCTAGTCTCTCTCGCAGGCGAGTTTGTTTTCGCACGTGAGAACGTGTGTAGTCGCGCCGGTCGTTGTTCCAAGCTCGAGTTCTCAAAGTACCCGATCCGCGTTCGCGTTTCGATCTCGAGCGCGCGCACGCGCGCGCTCTCCCGCGTTCAACGCAAACAACACGCTGTTCGAACGCATGGTGAACGAGATTGGTAGAAGATTGAAAAAGAGCGGGGTTTAGCTGTTCGAACAGCGCGAAGAAGAAGAAGAAGAAGAAGAAGAAGAAGAAGAAGAAGAAGAAGAAAATTGAGTCGGTGGTCGGTGGTGGTCGATGGTGGCGTATGGTCGTTGATCGCGCGTTGATCCTGTCTATCGCAGCGTAGTAATGACACCGTATTAACTGGCTGGCTAGAGAAAGGTGAATCGTAGTGGTAATAGTAGTAGTAGTAGTAGTGGTAGTAGTGGTAGTAGTAGTAGTAGTAGTAGTTAGTTTGGCCGCGCGTACTTGGCGGTGTAGATCGTCTCGACCGTGCAACGACGAAGCGGTATCGTTAGTTGGCTGGCGTTCGTTGACGCACCGCCAGTGGCACACTTGTCGCTTGGAAAGGAGAATAGACTTTCTCCTTCTCGTCGTTCCTCGTACCACCGCCACCTTTCGTCTCGTTCTTCTTTCATAGGAA